GGGAGGGAAGCGGGAGGGGAGCGAGCGGACTCCCGCAAGGCCCCCGCCGTTTCCTTACCCACAGGCCCAGGGCTGGAGTCTCCCCAGCCGTTCCCACCCTCTCCCACTAACCAGAGGGTCAAGGCAAGAATGCTGCAGCTTCCTGCCCAAAATCTTCAATCTTTATTAATAAAATAAATCCTAGCTCTATCTTTAGTAATACCGAAGTTTTATCAGTGCAATTCCAGGGTTTTTTTTTTTGTTTCCAAACCAAAACAGGACCTCAGCTCTCCGAACTGGAAAGATGTGGCCACCAGGAAAGTACCTGAAGAATTACATTGCAGGATATGTCTCTTTGGAGAACAATAAATCTTATTTTTGTTTCATTTTAGCTCAGTTTGCACTCTGAAGCCTCCTGCTGGGGTCCTGCAGCAAGCCTCTACCATGTATAAATGCCAAGCAATCAAGTAATCCATAATATAGACAACGTAACAGTTCAGGTCTTATCCAAAAAGTCTTCTATACTAATTTTGCCTAAAACCAATATAAATTCCTTATACAGCCTCAGCAACCAGGTCAGTTAAAGTTTAAATGACTTTCAAGGCTGGTCTTACTAATTTTGGGAGGTGATCCACCAGAAGCTGCATGTTTTCAGTCCTGTAAGAAAGCGTCTTAAAAGATGACACTTAAAATGTGATTTATTTAAAAACCAGCAAGGACAATGAATGCAATTTAATTCTGTAGGAATGTGGCCAATAAATTGTGTCTACACACACACACACACTGAGGTGAGCTTTGGAAGTTATTTCAAATCTTCCACAGAACTGCCACCGAGTCAGCACTCGGAAAGCACAGCAAGAAAGAAAACCAGGATCTAATCCCAGCACCCAAAGTGGGAAATTCCAACCAGCTCAGAGCCAGTAAAACTGTATCACCTACACACATTAAAGTCCATGAAAATTACGTTGATCAGAGCAGCTTAATACTTCAGTTCATGAGTTTTTGTGTTTGATCACTTACCGCATCGATCGCCACAAAAATCGCTTTTTACAGATTTAGGAGTTGATAAATAAAGCAGATTTTTAGTCAAGAGGATAAATCACGACCCATTCAACAGTTTGTACTGTTAGTCCACGGAGATTCCCCCTTCTCCAAGGAGCTGGAAGTTCAGTCCCTGTGTCAGCCCAGCCTCGGGTTACTCCTGATGCTCGTGCTCCTGCCCCGGGATGAGCCAGCGGATGCTCTCGGTGCGAACGGTGGCGTACAGGACGAAGCTGGCCAGGAAGAGCAGAGAGAAGAGAAGCAGCCAGTCTACACCTTTGGTCAGAACGCTGGGCAGGGGACCCTCCCAGTCCTCCTGGGTCACTGCCACGCCGCTTCTGGCTTCTATGCCTGAAGGAGAAGGCACCTGATCAACATCAGCAGTGATGAAATCCAGAGGAGGTTCAATTTGGAGTTCTGCTCCTCACAACTACAGAGCACGTGACATTAAGAGTCCCAGTTTTGTCAAGATAGTCCCTGGATGTTAATGTGTTTTTAGCATCCAGTTTAATTACATAAAAACATAATGATTTTTAAGTGTATTTCCTAATAGGAGTCTCATTCTGTCCTTCCACAGCACAGCCTGGGATAATTCTTCTTTTCTTTTTGTGGAGGTTTTGGGTATTTCTGCTGTATTAACAAATATAATAATATCCAGCCTTTCACAAAGGCCCTTGCAGGGCTAATGTAAGTTTTTTTATTCTGTTTTGGTTTCCTTTACAGAAGCACAGAAAGCCCAAAACAACCAGGGCACAGAATCCAGAATCCTTCTGTCTCCTCCAGCACAAGAACTGAAACCACCCAATCCCCCCTCCAGCTACTGCCAGCCTCACAGGGCACTGACCACGACCCCAAGGCTCTCCTGCCTTTATCCCCAAATTAAATATTTGGGCAGGAAGATGAGCTCAGTCCTTCTCTCCACCTAAGCCCCCGAAAAGCCTGTTCCTGCCACATCATCAGGGCTGACTGAGGTACCTGTTTGATTCCAAATGAAGTCCTTCAGCGTGTCCAGCGTTCTGTCTGTGTGATTAAACCTAGCCATTGGTTTGGCTCCTTGGAAAAGGAGGATATTTGGCACAGCCACAGTCCCAAATCTAGTGGATAAACTGGTGGACATAAAGCAAACACACAGCGTGAGGGAAAGGGAGGAAGAAACAAAGATAGTCACCACACAGTGGTGTCAGCTTTACTGGATTAAATTGTTGCTTTATATCAGGAAAATAAACCCCTCACTCCTGTTTTTAAACCCCAAAACTTGGCCAGGGAAATGAGGCAGTGCTGGAGCAGAGGGAGGGGGTTACCTGCTGTGCTGAGAGGCATCCAGGGCCAGGAAGCGAAGAGTGGGGAAGGCTCGAGGTAAGGAATTAAAATGAGGAGCCAGGCTGGCAGAGAAACGGCACCAGGGGGTGTAGAACAAGACCAAGGTACAGTCACTGCTGTTGGGGTTCAAGAACTCCATCAGGTCCTTGGAGAGAGCAGGAGAAAAACACACACAGGCAACCACATGCTGAGTGGGGTTGGGAATCTGTGTAGGACACATCACGTGGCAGCAGCAGATGAATGCTGCCAAGTGGCTGCAGGTTTGTTTAGCCTTTTAAAAGCAGAATTGTCTTTAGTGTGTTTTTTAAAGGTTGTTTGAAAAGTTGATGATGAAATCTATACACATAACCATTATAAGGAACAAGCTAGACACAGGCACTGGAGTAAGTGCCATTGGTTTTGGAGAGAGACTAATCCAGGCAGCAGGAGAGCTGGTGGCTCACTGCAGGCACATGGATGGAAGGTGCAGGCTCTGGGCTGAGAGATATCCTCATCTTTTTCTGCTCAGAGTGACAGAAAAAGCCAGTATGCTTGTTCTGACAGCACAGAGGAAATTCCCAACGTCAAACGCCACGAGAGATCCACACACGGCGCTGACAGGGCGCCTTCCACCACCCTCACGTGTTCAAAGCAACCGGGAAGTAAAGGGAGGGGCTGTTTACCTGGGACACGTTCAGGATCTGCAGCGTGAAGCGCTCGATCCCCGTCGTGTTCCTCTCCTCGCAGTTCACTTTCGGAGCCTTGGCGCTGTCGGTGCCGTTGGACTCCTCGGCGGGCGCGGGCAGCACCGTCTCCAGCGCGGCCCGTTCCCGGCCCGGG